AGATATTTTTCTGGAGCTCTCCATGATCCAGCGAATGTTGGTGATTTGATCTCTAGTTCCTCTGCCTCTTCTACAACAGCGTTATAAACCACATTAATTTTGCATTGAGCTACAACCTACAGTCATTTGGGGCTTTGATCCCAACAACTTTTAGTCTTAGACAATTTAGCTGTGGGTAGGACTTTTCTCAGCATAAGCTTTTCTTTAGATGCAAGTGACTTTTCAAATCTGAATCTATTCTTCAGATTAGTTGAGGGCAGAGAATCACCTGGATTCTCTGCCCTCAACTAATACTTGGGTCCCTTTCCAACTGGGCATGCTAAGTGGGCCTCATTTGGATGGTGCTACCCTCTGGATGTTTCCTTTCAGAACTCTGAATTTTTAGAAGGAGGTCCCCTAAGCTGTTTTTCAAGAAGTAGCATGTTATGACCAGAATTCCCTTCTAGAATACTGCACTGTTTGTTGAGTGCAGATCTTGTATTTATGTATAACTCTATTTATGAGCAGATGGTGAACAGCAGTAGCGGTTATAATACTGGTATTGATTTCAAAACTTAACGACTGAACAACAACAATTGATTTCAAAGGGAAACCTTCTCAGCAGCAGTTCTTCCTCTGACCTTCCTCCTTTTCTTCTTTGAGAAAAATCCAATTTTTGTAAGCTTAAAATCCTGAGGGGTTGCATCTGTAGATAGATAAAACCCACTTAATTCAGAGAGTAATTTGTATTAACTGGATGCCCTTCTAAGCAAAATAATACTAAACGTTTTTGGGGACTGGCAATATTAATCTATAGGCTTGCTGTCTGTCCTGGAGCTTGTTAACTTCTGTAAGGTGGTACCATTTTTTCAAGCTGAACTGTGTTCTCTTAAAAGTTCCATGTATTGGGTCTGACACTCTCTCCTTAACTCAACCCCCATTGTGCCTAGATTTTTCAGACGAGATGGAGCGCATACAGTTTGCAGTTTGGAGACCCCTGCAATATCGACGCGGTGAGTTAAGGATTGATTGTCACACCAGGATCTGCGTCCTGAAATCCAGATTCCCTTGCTTCTTTAGATTTTCTGTGGAATTTAGTTTAAAATTTCTCTTTCTCTGCAATGTGATGAACTTATTAAGAAGTAATGGCATATCATTCCTTGAGTTACTTAGTAGAGAAGATACTGCTGGAATTCAGAACTTACATTGACTCAAAAGTGTTCTTCCTGAGTTTTTTTTTCCCCTTAGGTGATCAGTGGATTGTCCCTTTTTAAACCGTATACTTCTTCAATTAGTTCTAGATGTGCGAATTTGATTGAAACAATATTCAGATGTTGCTATAGATGATGAAGTAGCAACCCCCAAAACGCATTCTACTTGTGGGGTGGGTATAGCATATTGATGAAGTTGGGGGATGCAGCAAGCCATTCCATCAACTGGCATAATCAACAAGTTCAATTTCTGCTACGCAAAATAATTAGCTATATACAGTGGGGCAAAAAAGTATTTAGTCAGCCACCAATTGTGCAAGTTCTCCCACTTAAAAAGATGAGAGAGGCCTGTAATTTTCATCATAGGTATACCT